GGTTCACAGGGATGTTGCAGTTCGCAGGGATGTTGCGCCCAGCACGGCCTTGCCATGCTGGTGTTTGTGCAGAAGGCGAAGGTGTGTATACCTGGGAGCTCGGTGACTCCAGAGGTGCAGGCGCTATCAGGCACGATGGGTGGTGGGCATGCTGGGCGGTGGGCAGCTCCTCGGGTGGAGTTTTCCAAGGTGTTGGCGAAGCGCCGCTCCCTGCCCATGGCTCTCGCAGACAGGATGGATGTCTTTGGGCTGAAGTTCTGTTAGGGGTTGATAGTGACATGATGAGGGGGAATGGTTTTAAACTAAGAGAGGGGAGATTTCGGTTGGATATTAGGAGGAAATTCTTTACTGTGAAGGTGGTGAGGCAGTGGCCCAGGTTGCCCAGAGAAGCTGTGGATGCCTCATCCCTGGAAGGGTTCAAGGCCAGGCTGGATGGGGTCCTGGGCAGCCTGCTCCAGTGGCTGGCAGCCCTGCCCACAGCAGGGGGGTGGAATGGGATGATCTTTAAAGTCATTTTCAACCCAGGCCATTCCGTGATTCTCTGCCCTGGTCCTGCAGCAAGCCAGCAGGTTCTGCACCACGTAGCTTTGAATGGCAAAAGCACAATAACAGTTGTTTTTAGTATAAAGATGTCAAGCGACAAAGGACTCTAAAGCATTGCTTGTCCTTCATCACAAAGCTCAGAGATGTGCGCTTCGCTCTTCCACCCACGCTGCATAGCCACGCTCCTCGTCCTTTGCCGGTGCAGCCAGGGCGATGGAGGGAAAGTCTTGCACACCTGAGGACAGACCTGCCTCACCTCCGTGGCAAGAAGGACACCAGGGCCCCGTGAGCTGCCCAGAAGCTCCATCAGCCCTTATGCTAGGATGCATTTTGCACTCTGGGTCTCTCTTCGGGTCCTCCTTTCCCTCCCGGAGTCTCCTATATGGTAACAACCCACCCAGGGGAGATGCTGCTGAGCTCCCATCTCCACGCTCTCTTGAATTTCCCTTTGGCTGGTGGCGGTGAACAACATCGTGGGATCTTTAATGCTGCTGCCCGGCTCTCGGCTCAGCCCCGGCTGCCCTCGTGATGGGAGTGGAGGGGACTGGGGTGGACTGGTGGCACAGGAGTGTGCGAGGTTACCCGTGTGCTCAGTCTGGGCACAAACAAGGAAAATTCTGGTTTCACTTCTGTTTCATAGCTGAGACATTAGTATTTGCTGAAAAGAGGGGACATGGAGAGGTTCAGCATCCTGGAGGCTTATGCCTGAAAGAGACTGATTCTGAGCAGCGTACACACATGGTTAGAGGTGTAAAAATGTAAGGAGAGGGAGGGATTTTGAGCTCCTTTCACACACTGCATGAGCTGGGGTGAGCAGAGCAACATCAGCTCTGGCAATTTAGGTTGTCCCTCCCAGGATGGGAGTCTCCAGCCCAGTCTGACCCTTAATTGGCAACGTGCTGGGGGCTCGCTGGGTGCCCAGCGGCAGGGCAAGCCTTTGGGCTGTGTCACTGGTGGCTCTGCTCAGAGGGGAGCATCAGCACATAGAAAGAAACCTTCATCTTTTGAGGAAGTCGTGCCTCTGTCTCATCACCTGGAAGATGTCACTGTCCCAGAACAGCTCCCTGCCACGTGGCTCCTGCTGCCACCATCCTCACCAGCCCGTTACAACTATTTGTGAAAATCCTCCGGATGAGCTCTTAGCTTTAGCGATGTGATTTCAAGGTCAATATTTCTACCTGTGCTAAGGGTCTCCTGGGATTGTTATCACCTGCCATGAGCTCTGAAGCTTTGGCTATGCAGTGAGTGACACTTGCAAATTATGAAACGCTGGGCTGGGAGACCGCAGCTACGGCAGCTCACCTCTGTATTTCCATCAGCAACACGGGCTCTGGGCTAGTTCAGGTGACCAGCGCTGTGGGGCGGGGGGACAGCAGTTGCATCAGCCTGTCTGCACTGTCTCGGTGTTTGTCCCTCGGGCTGTCATAGTAACAAACCCCAGAACAGCCTCTTCCTCTGTCACCGCCTCTCGCTGGGGTATCACGGGGGACGGTCAGGGATAAACCTGTGCTGCGGTGTGGGGCTGGGCTGCAGACAGATGTGCAGGGCTGCAGACAGATGTGCAGGGCTGCAGCATCTAAAACACCGGTTCTGCTTTGCACACATCTGCCAGTGAAAGCCAGGACTTGTCCCCTCCCCAGTGG